GGCAAATAATGCTACAGTTTCTTTAAAACTCTAAACTAAACTTAACCACATAACCCCAACAATAGCACTCTTGGTTAATTATCCCAGGGAAATGAAAGCTCATATTCACACAAAAACCTGTACACAAATGTTCACTGCAGATCTATTCATAACAGCCCCAAACTGGAAACAACCTGGATGTCCTTCAGCAAGTTGATGGTTAAAAACCTGGTACATTTCCAGACCCTAGAATACTATTTAGCAACAAGAAGGAAAGATCTATTAATATGCAAAACAATTTTGATGAGTCTCAAGGCAATTAAGATGCATGAAAAAAGTCCTTTTCAAAAGGTTAGATATTTCATTATTCCATTCATATAATCCTTTTGAAGCAAACTATAGAGATGGAGAACAGATTCCCTGGTTGCCAAGGGTGAGGGGTTGTGGTAGATGGTAGTTCTAACAGATAGCATAAGGAAATCTGGTGGTGTAATGGCCAGGGATCTTGATTGTGGTTGCAGTTACATGAATTTTCATATGTGATAATGTTGCACAGAACCACAAATACACAAACACACACACTCACAAATGATCACATATAAAATTGGCAAAATCTGAATAAGCTTTGTGGGTTGTACCAATGTCAATTTTCTGCTTTTGATGTTATACTGCCACTATCTTGGATGTTATAATTTGGGGAAACTGGGTGAAGGATACACAGGATTTCTTGATACGTATTTTTGGCAACCTACTTTGCATATATAATTATTTCAATATAAAAATTTTAAGGCTAAATTAGATTTAAAATTATTATAAAAATGACATGTTATAAAGGTAAAGGAATGCTTATATTCTCTAATTTTTACATACTTTTGGGTTATGGTTGACAAATCTTAAAATTTTCAGCTGTCAACATGGTCTTACAGTACATGGCTGGTCCTCAGCTTACACCAAATGTGACTTCAGGAAAATTGAGCAGCGCCTAGCTGGTCTGTGCACTGTTCTGCTGATGACACCTCTTAGCCTGTGCCAGTGGCAGACTGCCCTAAGAGTTTCTAAAACGTACTGCTCATTTCTGGACTGATCGCATTGTGGCCCAGCAACCGCCCTTTGCAGGCCTGCCCCAGGCAGCGACTACTCTGGGCAGAGCAGATCTCCATGCACACGTGTAGAATCTGGCGGCGGGCCGGCTGTTGCTCAGGGTCTCCGTTTGAGTCAAGAGGACTTTCTTTATGAGAAACAGCTGTGCTACTATTGTGGCCAGAACAAGTCTTCTATGCATCAGACTTTACCAGAGTTATAGTGCCGCTTTAAGGTCTCTCTTTGGAGAACAGAAAAGTATACACAGGGGAAAATTTGTTGTTATTTCTTTTGGAGAGCATTTCTTGTTATTTGATTGCTTCCTGCTTTTTCCTGGAAACCCACTATACAAGTGTTGCTTATCCATTAGACTAACTTAAAATAGTGCATTTTCTTATGACTTTTCAGTCATAAGATGAGACCTTTCTGGTTAAATCTTGGCATGTTTTTTACTAGAAATAAGTTTGAATACTCATTTGGCAATTGTGGGTTTATGTTTCGCTCTATATGGATAACATAGAATTACTGTCATCCTGTTGCAGTTCAACATCAAAGATATCGTGGCCCAAATGAGAGCACAACGTTATGGCATGGTTCAAACAAAGGTAAGCTCTCATGTCATAATTCTAAGTTGAAGAATAATGAATATAGAGATTCACTGTATAGCATATTACAATTTATAGAGCTCTTTCACCTACATGAGCTCACTGAGTTCTCACTTTTGAGGTAGACATTAGTGATGCAGACCTTCAAGTTCAGAGCAATGCAGTCTTTTCCATGAAGTAACTTCATTCTGGTAGCAAATGGAAGAGCTGAGACTGAGACCAAGTCTCCCAGTGCCCACATGCAAGCTTTGTTAGAGAAACATGTCTCAATGAATTTTCATAAATTTATGGATAGCAATTCTGGGATATTTACTTGCCACTAAAATATTAATCTCATTAGTCATGATAGTCATAAAACTATCATTTCTTTCACAGGTTAATTATTAGTCATTTTGGGGGGTTAAGAGAGTATGGATAATGAAAATAGGTACCCCTGAATCTTCAGGCTGACCTGTTTTTAGGCCAACATTGAGTAATATGGAGCATTTTATTTGAACTATTGTTGTCTGAGAGACCTGAGGCTATATCTAAAAAAAGTTTAAAATGTGATTCATCCAAGGAAAATATAAGTAGAATGAGTTTGAGTTAGTTTCCCCTCTATTCAGTTAAGCCTTTAGTTTTAGACCAAGAACTATATTGTGATCATTTATGTTTCTGATATTTTAAAAAATATATTTATGTACAGAAGTTCTTAGTTAAATGTGTGCTCTTTAGGAACTTTCTCTGTGGCTGAAAATTACAAATGTGTTCTCTGAAAGTGGATATTGGTATTCAGTTACTTAACGGCCTGTTGTTTTCCATATATATGTCTACAGGAGCAGTATTGGTTTTGTTATAAAATTGTGCTTGAAGTTCTTCGGAAGCTTGCGACTTTGGATTTAGAAAGACTGAAGTTGCATCACACTTGACATACCAGGTGGCCTGGAGCTTCCTCAGACAGAGCATGACAGGTTGTGCTGAAGGAAGGGCTCTGCTGTGCGCACAATGTGCTCTCTCGGTGTATCATTTGATTTCCTTTCTGACAACTCCTGAAGGCAGCATTCTTTGGTTTGGGGTGAATAGTGTCTACCCACTGACTTTACTTAGATAATATCAAAATACCCTCCCACATTTTTCAATGAAATAAAAAGTTTCTTAAAACAACTGCAGCCTATTTGGTTGAAGGGATTACAGAGCCCAATAAAGGACTTAAACTATATTCATTAAGATTTTATCTGGAAAGATAGTTAAAGGGAGCTGAGGATTTCCCAGACCTTAGGAAGCTCTGATTCTGGGAGGACCTAGAACCAGTAAACTGACTTCTTACAGGCATTTTCAAGACAGATACTTATCCATGGTTATTAGCTAGAATCTATACTATTAGCTGGCATTTGAATAACTCAGTTTACTGAAGATTCCTATTAGGATGGTTTAATGTGTTATGCAAATTGGACTCCCATTTTTCTGTACCTCCAAGTCCCATGGAGCCCCAGGGAGCTCAGAGGACCAGCTGCCTTTCTAGAACCACTGGACAAAGACCTGATGGTGTGGGGAGCTTTTTGTGGGTGGGCAGACTTCCTCCCTCCATCACATGAGCACACTGAGGAACAGTTCAAAACTAAAATAGCTGTTTATAGAGAAGGTCCAAGAGGAAACTTTTGCCTGGCTTGAGTTCTTTCCTATCCCACCCTAACACTTAACATATTACTCAGTTTGCTTTGTTGAAAGCAAATATTACATTCTACTTGCTTTTTAGTTTTTGCCCTTTAGCTAACTAATAGGCTTTGATATAAGCATTATTATGTAATTTTGAATCTCTTATGCCAGATATATTTTTCAAACTAAGATCTAGGATAGTTATTTTTTTCTTCAGAGTTCTATTAAATCATTTATTTTTATTACCCACACCCCCTCCACCTCTGCTGTAACATTTAGAAATTGGCTTTGGGAACCAAATTTTTGAAAACCAAATTCATAAAATGAAAACTTCCATATTCTGTTTTTGAAAAGATTGTAGCCATTATTATATTCATCTTATTATAGGACTTTGCCTCATACAATTACAGTGATAATTTTATCAAAGAATTTTAGTGACCAGTTAGATTTTATTTTAAGCTATAAAGCACTTGAATATACATCTTTGTAAAGTGTAATTCAGTAAAGATCAGAATATTCTATGTATTATATTAAGAAAATTTCTAATATTAAGCTGTAGATCTTGAATTTTTAAGAGGCTTATATTGTTCCCTTGGCTGAATGAATACTTGAATTGGATGAATTAAAATGATCATTCTCATTTTTAAAATAATTATATGCCAGAAATCTATTTTATCTTAAGTCAAATAGATGATTCTACCTATTTACATTGTTCATATAAATAGTAGTCTATGCTAAACATTAATTTTGATGATTGGCCTTTAATATTTGTATTCCTAATCTTTCCCTCTGTTTTTATAAAATAATAGACAACAATATTCCTGAGGATTTCATGCTGTTATTTAAATGGAAATATTTACTATGTATTGTCTCTTGCATTTTTATTACTTGGGCCTTAAAATATTCTTGTAAAGAAAAACTCAATTTTTGACTTTTTTTTCTTTAATGTGTGCCTTATATTTTTATAGCTGGACTAATTTTTCATTTGTCAGAGAAGTTAAATAAGTAAATATGAGAAGACTGATTGTATTTCTTTTGATTTTATTTTTGGGAAGTCAATTTCAAATTGAAAACTTTTGACTAATTGAAATACTAAGTTTCATAAAACAACAAATCAATTTTTGCCTACGATATGAATATGAAACTCCCATTGACATCTTTGTGAGTATATGAATGCTTATTTGGGAAAAATTAAAAAATATTTAAATATAATCATATATGCATTTATTACCTTTCAAATTTAAATACATATTTAAAAAGTTTGATGTGCTTGATGGACTTACGTGTTAGACCAAATCTTCTCAGATATAAACATTGTAGGCTTTATTTTCATATAAGTCTTAGTAATTTATTTTTCTTTTTCCCACCATGTATTATTTATTCATTCTGTTTTTTCTCTTTTCTCCTTCCATTCTTTCTTCCTTTCTCCCTCTGCACCTTCCTTCCTTTTAGAAAATCTTTATTGTTGAGATTATTGCAGATGTCTCTGGCCTCTCCTCCCCATTGCCTCCCTCCGCCAGGATCCTACCCCACCTCAGGCCTTCACCACCCTATTGTCTATTTCCCTGGGTTATGAACACAAGTTATTTAGTTAATCTCTTTCCACCCTCCTTCACCTTCCTCTCTGAGTTTCTTCAGTCTGTTCCATGATTTATGCCTCTGATTCTATTTTATTCATTAGTCTATTTTTTTCATTAGAAGAATCCTTGTTCATTTATTTTGATTTTTAGACTCAATTGTTGATAGATATGTATTTATTGTCATTTTATTGTTCATATTATTTATCTTTTCCTTCTTAAAAAAGATCCTTTAACATTTCATGTAATGCTGTTTTACTGGTGATACACGCCTTAGCTTTTTCTTGTCTGGGAAGCTCTTTATCTGAACTTCAATTCTAAATGATAGCTTTGCTGGGTAGAGTAATCTTTATTGTAGATTTTTGCTTTTCATCACTTTGAATATTTCTTGTCACTCTTTTCTGGTCTGCAAAGTTTCTTTTGAGAAATTAGCTGACAGTTGTTACCTACCTCTGTTGTAAGTAACTAACTGCTTTTCTCTTCCTGCTTTTAAAATTTTCTCTTGGTCTTTAACCCTTAGCATTTTAATTATGATGTGTCTTGGATGAGCTCCTTTGGGGCCATCTTGTTTGGGACTCTCTGTGCTTCGTGGATTTGTATATCTAAAACTTAGGGGAAGTTTTCTGTCATTATTTTTTCAAATAGCTTTTCAATTTCTTCCTCCTGCTCACAACCCTGAAGGAAACAGGAACCTCAGTGTCAAAAACACAAAGCCCAAGATTCTGCTGAGCCTGAAGGAGCCCTAGATGGGCATGCAGCAGGCTGGCCACAATTTTAGCCTGGTGAGACCCCGGGCAGAGGACCCAGCCAGCTGTGCCTGGATCCTGACTCAGGAAACTGTGAGATGAGACATTTCTATTGTTTTAATCCACTAACCTTGTGGCATTTTGTTACATTGCACTTAAATATAAAAGACCAATTACCAACTACCAAAAACACTTAAATTTTTTTTCTTGGATTATACCATTCTTCCCCATTTTTAAATAATTATATTTACAAGGTAGATATAATCATTTGCATATTATAATTTATCTCTTTTAACTCTTTTATATGCATATATTTATCAGTAATTCTCTAAGCATTGACATCTCAAACATGTTTTCTAGTAGATTCCCTTGGAAGGCTTCTTGGAAACAGCTTTCTCTGACCTCTGGCATGTTGGCATTCACCTGCACCCTCTGTACATCATGATACATTTTACTAGATATTAAATACTTGAATCATATTTTCTTTCCTTGAAAATCTTGAATATATTACTCCTATTTTCTGTCAGAAAGTGTTATTGTAAAAAAGCATGATAATAACCTGATTTTATTTTCTTCATACTCTTTGTATAGATGCCAAAGGATATTTTTCTTTTCAAATTTCACTAATTTTACTAAAAAAAATTCTTGGTATTGCCTTTGCGGGTAGCTCAGTTGATTGGAATATCATTCTCAGGAATATTGAGATAGAAGAGCAAAGTTGTAGATATCATGCTACCTGATAACAGACTATATTACAAGCCTATGGTAATCAAAACAGTACTGGCATAAGAACAGGCATATAGAACAATGGAACAGAACAAAGACCCCAGAAATCAACCCACATCATTATGGTCAATTAATATTTGACAAAGGAGCCAAGACATATGAAGTAAAGACAGTCTCTTCAATATATGATGTCGGGGAAATTAGACCGGTACATGCAAAAAAATGAAACTAGATTACCAACTTACATCACATAATAATAAACTCAAAATGGATAAAAGACTTAAATGTTAAGTTGCAAAAACATAAAAATCTTAGAAAAAACAGGCAGTAAAATATCAGATATCTCTCATAGCAATATTTTTTGCCAGTATATCTCCTAGGCCAAGGAAACAAAGGAAAAATAAACAAATGGGACTATGTCAAACTAAAAAGCTCTGCACAGCAAAAGAAACCATCAACAAAATGAAAAGAAATCCACCATATAGGAGAACATATTTGCCAATGATACATCTAAAAAGGGGCTAATTTCCAAGATATATAAAGAACTTATACAACTCAACAAAAGGTAGACAATCCAATAAAAGATAGGCAAAGGACCTGAATAGAAACATTTGGTTGGCCAATAGATATATGAAAAAATTGCTCACGTCACTAATCAGTCAGAGAGATGCAAATTAAAACTACAATGAGGTATCACCCCACACCTGCCAGAAGGCTACCACCAATAAATCAACAAACAACAAGTGCTAGTGAGGATGTGGAGAAAGTGGTACCCTTGTACACTTTTAGTGGAAATGCTGACTGTTGCAGCCACTGTGGAAAACAGTAAGGAAATACCTCAAAAAATTAAAAATGCAACTGCCTTTTGATCCAGTGATCCCACTTCTGGGAATATATCCAAAAATTCCAAAACACCAATCAGAGAGAATATATGCACCCCTATGTTCATTGCAGCATTATTTACAAGAGCCAAGATATAGAAACAGCTCAAGTAGCCATCAGTAGACACAGTGGAATACTATGCAGCAGTAAAAAAGAAGATCTCTTACCCTTTGCAACCGCATGGATGGAGAGTATTAAGCTAAGTGAAATAAACCAGTCAGAGAAAGACAAATACCATATGATCTCACTTTTATGTAGAATCTAATGAACATAATAAACTGATGAACAAAATAGATCCAGAGGCATGCATACATGGAACAAACTAACAGCTGTCAGAGGGGAGGTGGGCATGGG